CCGCCAGAAAGGAGAAACTGAAACAGTTAAAAAATCAGTTAATTGGACAGCAATCAATATTTTTAAGAACAGTCGACAAAAATAAGGCTGCAACTGAAGCATCGTACCGTGTGTCCCAGATAATTGCACAAAAAAAGAAACCTTATGAAGACGGGGAAGGTTTTTAGAAGCTGCTGATTCGTTATTTGCCAACTTTAGAAATAAAGACTAGATAGTTTGAGCTATAAAATCTATGCAACTTTCTGCTAATACAGTGATGAGACGTGTAGAAGTAATGATCATTAAGCAATGATATTTTTTTAGTTAAGAACTGACTTAGATAAATGTGTTTATTTTTCACTTCAACTGGATGCATCTCATGGGCGAAGTTATGTCATCAGATCTGGGGGGGCTAAAGCCCTAATCATATAATATATAATAGTTCTAGAGGTATACCTACTGAAGTTAAGTAAAAAAATTCTGGCGAATCTATGAAAATGGATAAAATATCATATATCGATTCTAAACAAAGTTTTGCAAAATTTCAATATTGTGAATTTGTAGATATCCATTTATGGTAAAAAACTAAATTTTACGACTTGCACTTGGAAAATAATGAATACTTCAGTTTTGATTTTGACATTAACACCATATAGATTGCAATTTGCTGGGGACTTTTTCGCAGATTTCATTTTTAACATAAACACTATCACATACTATAAGAAATAAACAAATTTAAAGCTAAAAAGTAAGAAAAACTCGAATTGTAATTGATACAAATTAAAATGTAAACAATGAACTCGTTGCCAAATGATGAACTGATTTTAAAACAAAATTAATAAATGAACTGAAATTAAAAAAAAAATTAATATAATAAATCGGTTTTATAAAAAAGTCCTTAAATAAATATAGAGTATGATTACATATTACTATACACAAATTTTGATTCTTAAATAAAAGGTCTTATCCACTTCTTCAAGAGCTAAAATCCGACAACGTAGAGAAATTTTGCTACTTCTGGCAACACTGAACGATATCCTACTTATAGGGACCTTCTACAAATTTCCTCCAGAGGGCGTATCACTTAGCTTGAATCGCGAATAAAGATCCTTCCAATTATAATACCTTCTCAAGGAAGTGTAGGATTTGGAGTGGCTTCAAGTTAGGTAAATCTCCCTCTTCTATTTGATATTCTCCTAGGTATAGTGCCCTTGGATTCTCAAGTGCTACACATTTAGTTAGAATGTGAATGAAGATTTTTTCCTCCTCCTCACAAAATCTGCACTATCTTCTACTACTCTCAGTTTACTAAGGTGTAATTTTAGTTGGCAATGTCCAGTAAGGATCCGTGTTACAAGTGTTCTCACTACTAGAAAAATGTATATTATGATAACAGCTTAAAATACAATCTGGCTAATGTGGAACACCCCGAAAGCCTTGCCAGACTCGTCTAATGACCGTCAGGCGCGCTAAATTCGGCACGTTCGATTACTATTCCTCTCCTCGTTTAACTACCTGGCTTGTCAGGTCCAACCGAAATACGGTTTTATAACCGAAACAGAAACCAAATTTCGGCTCCTTTCTTAGTTTCGGCCGAAACAGAAACAAGAACTTTCTTTTAAGGCAATCTCTTATTGAAATTTGCAATATCTCATTGTAATCCTTGTTTTAGACTAATTAACTCGTATTATAAATTTTAGCTACATTTACTTATTACCTGTTTATTTATGTGATCAAAAGAAGCCATTAATAAATTTATTGACATGTTCACTTGAAACAAAGCAGAGAAGTTTGTGTGTACGTGGTCGTGCACTGTGTAGGAATGGCACTCGGCACAGTCGCCATTGCGCCGGACACAACCAATTGTGATACGAAAACTTTTAAAAGTAGTTTCGCTGTCGGCTGCAGTTTCGGCCAGTTTTCCGCCGAAACCGAAACTGTAGTCGAAACTATTATTTAAAGCTAAAGTTGACCGAAACCGTAACCGAACCTTCGGTCGGACACTACTTGTGAGTCTGGCAGGCCTCTGTAATTGTAATTGTCAGCCAGACGTGTATTTTCACTTACGAATATTTTGAAATTTATCCTAAGTAGATGGATAATGTTCTTAAAATATGCGTGAGTGTGCAAAAATTTACTGATAATAATTTAGGCACTTTTGGTATTGGGTAAGAAAGTTTTACACCAAAATATCCAAATTTTAAAACTTGACAGACATGCATTAAAACGACTAAAATCAAATTTTTAAAGGTAGCCATACCACAGAATATGCTGTGGCCATACCATGACCATTTTTCATATTTGAAGTCGTTTAGTTGACGCGAAAAACCTAATTATTATTTTACATAAAATAAATGTAGTGTATTTCTACCTAGTTATAATTGGTATTAAATAAAATATTACCACTGAAATGGCAAATTTTTTATATGCATGAAAGAGCTGCTCAACTGTCAAAAAAATTTTCAGTATAATTTCGTTCAGGGTACCCACCAAAAGAAAAATTTCCGGAAATTTTTCTGGTTGTCATGGAAGTGTTTTAAAATAACAGCAGTTGATTGGCTATAAAATGGAGGTGTAAAATTATAATTTAATCTATCACGTGACAAATTTTCAAACCCGGGAAAATAAAAGCAAAAATATTATATGTTTTCCATTTAGAAGATATCACCAGACTCATTAGACAATTTCGTAAATCAGCCATACTTATTATTATAAACAGTTCATGATTGTATCAATTTATATGCTCAATTTTCTGCCACACTCACTTTCCACTATCTGAGATAATCCAAACTGCTATTTTTATAAGCTTTATGTTCTAGTTTAGTAAATGTAAAATAGTTATGACTGGGAAAATAAGTGTCAGACTCAAAAATTTTATTTTTTGTCACTAAGAGAACAGTTTATTTTTCATATACACCGACTGGAAAAATGAATACGAAAAAAATTCACTGCCTCCTGAACTAAATGTAAAATTGCAGAATCAATCAAATGGCACGATTCTTTTTATTTTTTAATTTCTGTTCTGAAATGTTTGGGTGGATGTGCGATAAATGTTCTAATTATTTTTGGGGGGGCTAATTTGGTTTTTGGGGGGGCTTAGCCCCCCCAAGCCCCCCCTTAACTTCGCCCATGCTACAGATGTCGTTGACACTGCCTAGATGGCCGTGTTCGTCAGGATGGTTTTTAGTGATTTTACGATTAAAGAAGATTTTTGAAGTTTATTCCACTGAAAGGACACACTACTGGACAGGAGTTGTTTTCTCATTTAAAAAATATTATTTCTTCCGAGAAAATTCCAATATCGAAAATGGTAGGCTTAACAACCGATGGCGCTCCAGCTATGGTGGTTTGTGATAAGGGTCTGGTGGCGTTATGTCGTAAAGATGAAACTTTTCCGCAATTTCTCTGTTACCACTGTATTATCCATCAGCAAGCATTATGTGGAAATTTCCTGAAACTAAACAACGTTATAAAACTGGTGGTTAAAATTGTGAACAAGATTAGAGCTCAAGCGTTACAAAGACGATTATACAAAACCTTGGCCGATGAAGTTGACTGTCAATACGGGGACCTACTCCTTCACTCTGAAGTCCGATGGTTAAGTAGAGGATGGGTGCTGAAACGTTTTAATGATGTCCTATCTGGCATAGTTCAATTTTTCGAACAACGCGATGAACCGACTCCGGAACTAGAAAATTCAATCTGGCTTTGATATTTTGGTTTTCTCGTGGACATTACAGAGAAATTAAACGAACTTAATTTGCAGCTTCAGGGGAGAGACAAAGAACTAGCGGAAATGATTTCTGATATAAAAGCATTTATCAAAAAACTGGAGTTTTGGGAACTAAACCTAATTAACAGCGATGCCAAGCATTTTCCTATTCTTTCAGAAAAAAATATCTCAAAATCCATTAGAACCCTATGACAGCAAATATCATGTAGAAATAGTTTCTACCCTGAAGAATAAGAAAAATCGTTTAAAGGATTTCAACGAAATGGCTTTAGTAGCGCAGTTTGTTGTTTCGCCCTTTATGGAAATTGATATCCAACAGTTTGCAACTTGTGTTATGCAGAACTTTGGCGAAGACATCGCTGCAACAGAAATGGAAGTAATTGAGTTTCAAAATGATTTAGCCTTAAAATCGTTAGTCTCAAGTACCAAATGTATCTGGCCTATTGTAAGTTAAGACAAATATTCAGTTCTATGCCGTGTTGCCTTGAAAGTGAAAGCATTATTCAGTTCAACCTATTTGTGTGAATCTTCTTTTTCCAATATGAAGTTTATTAGGAACAAATATCGCAATCGACTTACAGATGAATATTTGGATAATTGTATTCGAATGGCTGTATCAAATTATACTGCAAAAAAATTATCGATGAGTTTGAGTGTCAGCCTTCTCATTGAATGTGCTTTTTTATTTTTCATTGTTTATGTTCATGATAGTGCGTTACTTTTTTGTTGTTATTATTAACTATTTTTAAATCTTACGTGACATGCCGTTGTGGCTGGATAAAAGTTTGTGTTTATTTTTCAAACACCTTCGTTTGGTAGGTAGGAATGTAGCTATGAACAAGTACGTACTAGTAATATTAGTTATTTTGTTATTAGTTTATTATTAGTACCTATGTATTACCAGTTAAATAGTAAAATAAATACATATAATGATAAATTAACTGTGGATTACTTCATTTACGTTGCGTTGCGTGGCTTCCGTGTGGGTAGCTCGCTGTTTATTCCAAAATTAACAAAGTAGCTCAACACATTGAGAGGTTGGCGACCACTGATTTATATAATTAAAAAATGTTGTTATTTGTTCCAAACTACGTGCTTCAATCCAAAATAAAGAAAGTTACTATGCAAAAATGCAGTATTGTGAACATATTAGCTCTACCATAATTAATGCGCCCTTAATATTGATTCAAAAACTAATTTTCACTTCCACTTTTTTGCAATCACTTCTCAGACTTTTATAGATGCCGTCGAGATGACATGAGAATTAACAGCAGTTTCTTTGTTTCAGAAATCGAGTAGCGAATGTTTTAGTGTTAACTTCGAAGTTGGAGACGAGAGCACTTGGGATAATGAATTGTTTTTTCCAGCCCAAAGGGGAATTACTTTACAGTAAGTATTTTGATTTCTTTTTTCTTAATGTTCACCATGGATTCTGTTATTCATGTGTTTTATTAATTAGATTAACAGGTTTTTATTTTGATTTGCCAATGCTAATATACTGATAAATATAAATTAAATTATTGGTTGATGCGACATTTTTAGAATTAACTTTATCATGTCATAAATGAGTTCATTAACAATACACAATAAATTTAAAAAATATATCTATTCTGAAAAATAATATAGTAGAAATAGGACTGGAAATTACTACAGATGACCCAAAAATGCTTAAGATGCTATGGAAAATATGCTAGAAAAGGAAATAGAAGTAAAAACACAAGTTATGACTGTCAAAAAACTTTGAGAAAATAGAAGATAAAGATCAAGTAATGAAAAATAAACATAAACTGAAGAATAATAAAAAAATATGATTTTCATTAATGAAGACAAAACAAAAATGGAAAGAGAAAAGGAAAAACAAATAAGAAAGACTGCGAAAGAAGAACAGGATAGAAGAAAAATTGTTAAAATAGGGTACAACAAAGTTACAATAGATGGAATTATACCACTTGAGAATTGGACCTCGATAAATCAAAAAACTAGAACGGATAAGGCTATGAACATGAATAATGAGAAAATAGTTATAGATGATGTATTATATAGACAAAATTATACTAAAACTATAAAAACAAATTCCGAAAAAATGAGAGGAGCAAACAAAGCTTTCAAAGAAAATGAAGGAAATAATCAAAACCATGATCAAATATACTTAGCAACTTGGAATGTCAGGAGCACATATGCAGAAGGAACGTTGATTAGATTAACACAAATTATAGACAATTACCTAATAGATCTAATAGCGGTACAAGAAACAAAACAATCAGAAAACTTTATTAAAGAAGTAGGTGAATATATATTTTTCAACAACGCAACAGATGATAGGATGTTTGGAACAGGATATTTAGTATAAAACAACTTTAAAACAGATGTAATAGAGTTTACATCAGTAACAAACAGAATTTGCAAAATAAGGATAAGATGCAAGTACATAAAGATAAGCATTATCAATGTTTACTGCCCTACAGAAGATAAAAAAGAGTTTTATGAACATATAGAACAAATTTATAACAAAATTCTAAGATACGATGTTAAAATATTGATAGGAGATTTCAATGCAAAGATTGGGAAAGAAAAAATAAATAAAATGACTATTGGAGGACACAGTAAACATAGTGAAAGTAATGGAAATGGGAAAAACTAATAGAATTTGCAACAGAAAAGGACTTAAGAATAGCTACTACTTATTTTCAACATGCAGAAATATATAAAGGAACATGGATCTCCCCTGAGTGAAAAACCTGCAACCAAATAGACCATATAGCCATTGAAAGTAAACACCTAAAATATATACTGAATGCAAGAAGTTATCGAGAAGCAGATATATATACAGACCACATACTATAGTCTATTTTTATGTATGAGAGAGTATTAAAATAATAAAGCGTTCGTAATCCATAGGCGTACCACTTCTTTAAGTAGACAGTTAAAATATTTTTTGAAGTTATTCCTCGAGTATACACTTATATTTTCACCTAATTAACCTGCTTATAACTTCTAAACAGCTGAAGGTAAAAAAGTGCAATTTTTTCTAAAATGTTTTATTTTTCCACAAGGTATGTTAAGAACATTGTGTCAAACGGGTTATGTAGGTACAAGGGTTTAAACTTTGACTTTTAAACAACGTTACGTTCATAAATAACAATTTTAATATAAAAACTACTTCTTACCTACAAATCCAAATCAGAATCGAAATCAGAAGATGAACTGTCGCAACCAATATTTACAATGAGTGGCTCGATCATTTCATCAGTAATATTGTCCAACTTCCACATTTTCTCTTCTTCTTTAATCGTATGATTTACTGCCTTTTCCCAGTTTTCAGGCTTTACATTATTTACAGCCTCCAAAAACAACTGTTTAACATAACTCATTTTAAAAGAATTATTTTTTCTTGAAACTTCTCCCTTTATCTGTGCCCATATCAGTTCAATCGGGTTTACTTCGCAATGATATGGTGGTGATCTAACCACCGTCATCCCACGATTTTTTGCAATTTCATCAATTTTGTATTTTTTGAATTTCTCTTTATGAAGGGAACACAAATGATACAGTTCTTTTCTCACAGAACCGGGATGGAACTTAATATTCTTTGAATTTAGCCAATTCTGTAAATCTTTTTTTAACCACTTGGTTGTGGGCATTTTTTCTATAAGTCTCGAGTGATAACTTGCATTATCCATTACTATTATACAGTTCTGAGAAAGAAGATCTATAATTTGTTCGAACCACTCTTTAAAGACATCAGCATTCATGTCCTGATAGTAGTCACCGGTACGAGTAGATTCAAAAGTCAATAAACCACCTTTAACAAAACCGTTTGAACTACCGATGTGTACTATTATTAGTCTGCACCCCTTTCCTGATGGTGGATTTAAACCAGTAGATAACTTATTTAAAAAAAACCTGTCTTCGACTTGTAACAGTTTCATCTTGCCAAAAAATAATTTGGTTTATGTCCCTCGTTGATCCATGTTTCATCTAATAATCTAATAAAATATATTTCTTCTATGGTTTCTCATTTCTTTTATAGTCTTTAGGTAATTTCTTCTCCATACTACAGTATCGCTTCTTTCTATTAAAATAGACTTTCTGGAATGCTTTTTCCATAGAAAACCTATTTCTTTTAAAAGTTTCCATAGTGTGCTTCGACTCTTTTCAGGGTAATCCTTATCATCTCGAACCGTGGCAAGAACTTTGTCTACTGTCGGAAATTCTTTTCTAAAGAAGAACGCATGCATTTTCCTTCGAAGTCTTTCTTTCAAAAGATTTTCTAATTTAAATGTTGGTTTTCCTGGAGCTTCACGTGCTGTTTGAAACTCGCCACATTTCTCTTCTTTAGCAACTCTGTAAATCGTAGATTTCGCAACATCAAGCGTACTACTAATTCCACTGTCATCAACACTTTTACGTAAATGTTTTTCTGTAAATGATTTAAAACAATTAAATATTAATGTTTTTTCATTAACTGTTAAAGGACCGATTTTTTGTCGTTTACGCGGCCCTTCCAAATTTTCCATGATCACACTAGAATTCACACTACACCTTGCAAGTTGCAACTAAACGACATTTAGTAAACTGTCAAGAATACACAATTTGGACCTCCTTACTAAATGGAAAACCTATAATCGCATTTTCGGTGAAATTTGTTGGAAAGGTATTTATCTACTTATAATTCGATTACTGTAAGAAATTCTTGGAATTAAAATAAAACAAAATTGGCAAATAGGTACTTGTTGAAAATAATCTTAAGATGCGGCTATGTAATCTTTAATACACAGGGCTTTTGGCCTGTCCAAACCTTTTTCTATTGTTCTGTACAGCTTATGTTTATAAAGGACCAATAAAAGACCCAAAACTTGTAATAGCTCAAGTACATTTATTACAATTTTAGGGAATATTTAGATTATTCTGTAAAAATATTTAAAATGACCGTACTAAGTTTTGCATCGGATATGCTGTTTTATTACTCTCTCATACATAAAAATAGACTATAATAAGTGCCAAATTAAAATACAGGAAGCCACTAAAAGAAGGAAAAAGAGTGAAACATAGAACAAGGTGTTCAGTGGAAAAACTAAAGGAAGAAGACATTAAAACTGAATTGAGTAACTATTTTTAGAAGAATCTCTGTCCTTAAGTTAGCCAAAAGGGCAGAGGAGGTGCTGATTTCTATTACAAAAGGAGGTCGCTGGAATTCACCTTGAAATAACCAATATATGCAAAACGTAACTCAAGAAGGTTTTTGAAAATAACATTATTACCATTATTTATTTAAACGAGCGCCACATATTCAGATATTACTTCAATGTGTCTACATCCTACAGACGACCTTAATATTCCTATAAAAAAAAAGAATTGTCTACAGACATACCTAGTGTCAATAGATTTCTTATCATAATTCAACCATGTTGATAGATGTAACGTTGCTTAGAATTAAATGTATAGTTAAATAAAATGAAAGTTCTTCTGACTTGGATTAATTTCGAAAAGATCTTTAGCTTGGTATGCGTTTAAGACCAGAGAGTACCCCAGCTAGCACAAAAACATCTTATCTACGTTAATAAGCTGCAATTTTAGGTTATTTAATTTCGCATGTAATGTACTTTTAATGTAATAATCCTAATATCCATGCAACCGCCGAATGTCCGCAACATCAAGGCTTTTATAGCACATCTCATAGAGGTTACTAAGTGAAGTTTGGAAAACATTATACTAGGACTTTTACGGTACTCTAAAATGTTTTATAGATGTTACAATATGAATTCATTCTACAGCATTATACAGTGTGTATAATTTAAAAGATATTTTTTAAAATATAAACTTATAGTCTATTTTTATGTATGAGAGAGTATTAAAATAATAAAGCGTTCGTAATCCATAGGCGTATCACTTCTTTTAGTAGACAATTAAAATATTTTTTGAAGTTATTCCTCGAGTATACATTTATATTTTCACCTAATTAACCTGCTTATAACTTCTAAACAGCTGAAGGTAAAAAAGTGCAATTTTTTCTAAAATGTTTTATTTTTCCACAAGGTATGTTAAGAACATTGTGTCAAACGGGTTATGTAGGTATAAGGGTTTAAACTTTGACTTTTAAACAACGTTACGCTCATAAATAATAATTTTAATATAAAAACTACTTCTTACCTACAAATCCAAATCAGAATCGAAATCAGAAGATGAACTGTCGCAACCAATATTTACAATGAGTGGCTCGATCATTTCATCAGTAATATTATCTAACTTCCACATTTTCTCTTCTTCTTTAATCGTATGATTTACTGCCTTTTCCCAGTTTTCAGGCTTCACATTATTTACAGCCTTCAAAAACAACTGTTTAACATTACTCATTTTAAAAGAATTATTTTTTCTTGAAACTTCTCCCTTTATCTGTGCCCATATCAGTTCAATCGGGTTTACTTCGCATTAATATGGTGGTGATCATCTAACGATTTTTTGCAATATCATCAATTTCATATTTTTTGAATTTCTCTTTATGAAGGGAACACAAATGATACAGTTCTTTTCTCACAGAACCGGGATGGAACTTAATATTCTTTGAATTTAGCCAATTCTGTAAATCTTTTTTGAACCACTTGGTTGTGGGCATTTTTTCTATAAGTCTCGAGTGATAACTTGCATTATCCATTACTATTATACAGTTCTGAGGAAGAAGATTTATAATTTGTTCGAACCACTCTTTAAAGACATTAGCATTCATGTCCTCATGGTAGTCACCGGTACTAGTAGATTCAAAAGTCAATAAACCACCTTTAACAAAACAGTTTGAACTACCGATGTGTACTATTATTAGTCTGCGCCCATTTCCTGATGGTGGATTTAAACCAGTAGATAACTTATTTAAAAAAAGCCTGTCTTCGACTTGTAACAGTTTCATCTTGCCAAAATTTATTTGGTTTATGTCCCTCGTTGATCCATGTTTCATCTAAATAAAATATATTTCTTCTATGGTTTCTCATTTCTTTTATAGTCCTTAGGTAATTTCTTCTCCATACTACAATATCGCTTCTTTCTATTAAAATAGACTTTCTGGAATGCTTTTTCCATAGAAAACCTATTTTTTTTAAAAGTTTTCATAGTGTGCTTCGACTCGTTTCCGGGTAATCCTTATCATCTCGAACCGCGGCAAGAACTTTGTCTACTGTCGAAAATTATTTTCTAAAGAAGAACGCATGCACTTTCCTTCGAAGTCTTTCTTTCAAAAGATTTTCTAATTGAAATTTTGGTTTTCCTGGAGCTTTACGTGCTGTTTGAAACTCGCCACATTTCTCTTCTTTAACAACTCTGTAAATCGTAGATTTCCCAACACCAAGCGTACTACTAACTAATTCCACTGTGTCATCAACACTTTTACATAAATGTTTGTCTGTAAATGATTTAAAACAATTAAATATTAATGTTTTTTCATTAACTGTTAAAGGACCGATTTTTTGTCGTTTACGCGGCCCTTCCAAATTTTCCATGATCACAGTAGAATTCACACTACACCTTGCAAGTTGCAACTAAACGACATTTAGTAAACTGTCAAGAATAAACAACTTGGACCTCCTTACTAAATGGAAAACCTTTAATCGCATTTTCGGTGTAATTTGTTGGGAAGGTATTTATCTACTTATAATTCGATTACTGTAAGAAATTCTTGGAACTAAAATAAAACAAAATTGGCAAATAGGTATTTATTGAAAATAATCTTAAGATACGGCTATGTAATCTTTAATACACAGGGCTTTTGGCATATCCAAACCTTTTTCTATTGTTCTGTACAGCTTATGTTTATAAAGGACCAATAAAAGACCCAAAACTGTTTTATTACTCTCTCATACATAAAAATAGACTATAACAACAACCAATAATAATTTATTAGTTACCTACTACTTTCATTTTTTCTACAACAGAATCCATTTCGGCATATTTGCATAACTCTCAAAAACCGCTCCAAATCAGTTTAACATAACACCCAAGAAAAATAGGTTGCCCGTCCGATGGGCATTAAACAGGATAAGGTAAATATTTATGCACATTTTTTACCACTAGCTCTCCATTTCTCACCTGTGGTACGATACATTAATCTGAATCCCTTATCTGCTTTGAGCGAATACATTAAGGGGAAAATATTCGATTGGATCGAAAAACGTTAGAACGTTAGCTTTATCCCAAACCCTTATAATTAAATTTGATCGGAGCCTCAGAATTGTAAATTTTATATCGAATCCGCAGACTGGGAGAAAATCAATTATTGAGTTCAAGAGGTTTTTAGGCCAAGCATTAAAGATAATCAATTGCAAAAGCTTTCCAACTTTGTTGAAATATTTATTGAAATGAAATAATTTACAAGACATTTACAAGACTTGTAAATGTCTTGTAAAAAGGACATTTACAAGTAATATTGAATTTGCAACCTTATACCTACCATGCAAATAGAGAAAACCATGGCGACAAAAGTATAATACAATATGGCAGCGAAGAAGGGTCGCACTTTTTAATTTTTTTTTTGTTTTTTTTTGTTTTTTTTTTGTTTTTTTTTTGGTTTTTTTTTGGTTTTTTTTTGGTTTTTTTTTTGGTTTTTTTTGTTTTTTTTTTTAGAAAATTCAATTCAAGTAGAGGAGGAACAGTTTTTGTTTGAATAGCTTTTTAAGTAAAGAGGAGAGAATAATTTTTTGTCACGGGGCCCGATCTAGAGAATTGTCCTGGAGCCCGGCCTGGCTCTCGGCGGTCCTGTAACTGTATATCTGCAATAATTAAATTTAAATTTCCCGAAAATGATGCAAAATCGAGTCATCAAATGTCTAAATGTTCCGCAGACCTAATGACAGAAATTTTTATTACTTCTCATTTTCAGCCGTTCGTTTCATGCTGTTTACAACCGTAATCCGCTTTATATGTTTGTCGAAGGTTAACATAATGGAAATTGAAAGGCTAATCACACATTAATGCTGAGCTGTGTTAATGACATTTTATACAGTATGGTGTAAATGAGAAAATGAAAGGAATACATTCATTATTTCGCAGAAATAGATCGATTTTGATTATCTAACACCCGTTTCTTCCTCTAATGTTGAAGAACTATCTTTTATTTCGTTTTAAAAGGGATGCAATAACTATCCGAATACGTCTATTTTTAAAATATATTCAAGTCCCCAACCAAAAACTTCCCCCTCTAGTCTTGTGCCGAACTTCTGAAAGAAAAAGAATCCTCGCCACGGTTGCCGGGCAACCTTTATACCGGCCCTGTATAAGCATTTACATTATAGTGAAAGAAACAAAATTAGTGGGTATAATTCAATTTAATGATTTTCAAAATATGAACCTTTACATTTTTACACTTCTGCTTATTGTTTTAAAACTTACCAACCATCTAGCTCTAGAACAAATCATATTATTTATTGATTTTGAGAGTTCTTTTTGGATGAACTGAATCTAGATCTCGATTTTGTCTTCTGCTTCTTATGTTGGCGATTTTCTTTAGGAGAATCGCTTCCACTACTGTAAGATTTCGTTAAAGAATGTTAAAGAATGTTAAAGAATGTTAAAGAATGTTAAAGAATGTTAAAGAATGTTAAAGAATGTTAAAGAATGTTAAAGAATGTTAAAGAATGTTAAAGAATGTTAAAGAATGTTAAAGAATGTTAAAGAATGTTAAAGAATGTTAAAGAATGTTAAAGAATGTTAAAGAATGTTAAAGAATGTTAAAGAATGTTAAAGAATGTTAAAGAATGTTAAAGAATGTTAAAGAATGTTAAAGAAATCTGTTCCAAACAATGATTGCGATTTTTTTAAAACTCTAACTAATTCTATAGGCTGTAAATTTCAGCACTCGATCGATCGAACTTCTCATTCCATAATAAATATTATTTTTTGACATAACATTAACGTTTGTACCTATTTTAGGTAGGCATTTTTGCATTTTCATCACTTTCAATATACTTTCTCTTGAAAAGCATTGAAACAAATTTTTAATTTTATATTTTATAACTTTGTCCTTTGTTACAGCGATTCCTTGGCGAAACTTTGTGAACTTCGAAATATCGACCTATCCGCTTGCGATGCTCGATTGCAAGATAAAGATAGCAACTACGAGAGTTTTATATTATTTTCTCAAGATTCTGCAAATCTTGTCGGAAGACACGTTAGAATTACAGGTGAGACTAATTTTAGAATTTAAAATATCACATACTAGAATATAATATTATATAATAATATTATATTTATTGCTTTTAAAAACAGATTGTTCTACAGCAAGGGTTTGAAATACAAAAATATACTTGTTTATACAATACAAATTAATCACACACCTAATTAATAATACAAAATAAAAAAATAAGAGGAAGAAAAGCAAAACAAAAATACATTATTTGGTTTATAGCTATAAATATCCTATAAAATAAAAACACAAAAAACAGATCATGTTGATTACCATATCTTTGTTTAAGTTATTCATTTATTATGAATGATCTAAGTTTTAGAACGTTCCATATAAAAGTTGCAATAGTTTTAGCTGAATTGATCTTCGTATTATCAAGAAAGTAAATAATAGAGTTAAAATCAGCTAGATAATTACAATTTTTAGATGTCATGACATTATAAATGGGACAATCAAACAAAATGTGGTGAATTGACTCATCTTAATTTTTATTGCAAACTGTACAAATTTCTCTAGTATTTATTGTATATGACAATCCATTTAAAGTGAACTTTAGATTATATTTATTACTTAGTCTCAACTGGGGTGTAGTGCGAGTAATCTGAATAGGAAGTTTTAGGATAAGATAATTTTTAGGCTCGTAGTTGATTGTAAATACATTGTAAAAATTAAAGAAAGATAATCTTTGCATCTTTGCTAATTCTTTGTTATATAGCAGTGGTCGCCAACCTGTCGATCGCGAGCTACCGGTAGCTCGCGGAGGCAATTCTGGTAGCTCTCACAACGGTTTTAATTTAAAAAATACAAACTGCAAAAATCAGAGAAGCTTCCGAAAATTCCACAAAAAATCTAATTGTCATAATGTTAAACATAAACAGAGGCAACGTTGCGGTGAGCGATCTGCCGCTGTCGCCATCAAGCTAGAATCGGCTAGAACCGACCAGCCGGACCAGCGCGTTAGTGTTCGAGAACGATCAGGATCGCTTTGAACGGGATAAATACGCACGGCGCGGCGACATTGCGCTTAGTTTAAAACTGAACGCGTAACCAACGTCCAGCGGTTGGGTTAGTAGAGAACAACAAAAAATAATATTATGACAAGCAGTTGTAAGAAGGTAAAGACATACCACTTTCATTCGGAATGGGAAGAACAATACTTTTTTACAGAAGTTAAAGATAAAAATGTGTGTTTGTTATGTAATACTTCGGTCTCCGTTGCTAAAAAAGGAAATATTGAGAGACATCATAAAACTGTACATTTTTATTTTGAAAAATCATTCCCACTACATTCTGCCGCCAGAAAGGAGAAACTGAAACAGTTAAAAAAGCAGTCGACAAAAATAAGGCTGCAACTGAACCATCGTACCGTATGTGTCCCAGATAATTGCACAAAAAAAGAAACCTTATGAAGACGGGGAAATGATAAAACAGGCATTTTTAGAAGCTGCTGATTCGTTATTTGCCAACTTTAGAAATAAAGACGAGATAGTTTCAGCTATAAAATCTATGCAACTTTCTGCTAATACAGTGATGAGACGTGTAGAAGTAATGAGCAATGATATTTTTTTACAGTTAAGAATTGACTTAGATAACTGTGTATTTTTCACTTCAACTGGATGAATCGACAGATGTCGTTGACACTACCCAGATGGCCGTGTTCGTCAGGATTGTTTTTAGTGATTTTACGATTAAAGAAGATTTTTGAAGTTTATTCCACTGAAAGGACACACTACTGGACAGGAGTTGTTTTTTCATTTAAAAAATATTATCTCTTCCGATAAAATTCCAATATCGAAAATGGTAGGCTTGAAAACCGATGGCGCTCCAGCTATGGTGGGTTGTGATAAGGGTCTGGTGGCGTTATGTCGTAAAGATGAAACTTTTCCGCAATTTCTCTGCACTATCCACTGCATTATCCACTGCATTATCCATCAGCAAGCATTATGTGGAAATTTCCTGAAACTAAACAACATTATGAAACTGGTGGTAAAAATTGTGAACAAGATTAGAGCTCAAGCGTTACAAAGAAGATTATTCAAAACCTTGGCCGATGAAGTTGACTGTCAATACGGGGACCTACTCCTTCACTCTGAAGTCCGATGGTTAAGTAGAGGACGGGTGCTCAAACGTTTTAATGATGTCCTATCTGGCATAGTTCAATTTTTTAAACAACGCGATGAACCGACTCTGGAACTAGAACATTCAATCTGGCGTAGAGATTTTGGTTTTCTCGTGGACATTACAGAGAAATTAAATGAACTTAATTTGCAGCTTCAGGGGAGAGACAAAGAACTAGTGGAAATGATTTCTGATATAAAAGTATTTATCAAAAATCTGGAGTTTTGGGAACAAAACCTAATTAACAGCGATGCCAAGCATTTTCCTATTCTTTCAGAAAAAATATCTCAAAATCCATTAGAACCCTATGACAGCAAATATCATGTAGAAATAGTTTCTACCCTGAAGAATAACTTCAAAAATCGTATTAAGGTTTTCAACGAAATGGCTTTAGTAGCGCAGTTTGTTGTTTCACCCTTTATGGAAATTGATATCCAACAGTTTGCAACTTGTGTTATGCAGAACTTTGGCGAAGACATCGCTGCAACAGAAATGGAAGTAATTGAGTTTCAAAATGATTTAGCCTTAAAATCGTTAGTCTCAAGTACCAAATGTATCTGGCCTATTGTAAGTAAAGACAAATATTCAGTTCTATGCCGTGTTGCCTTGAAAGTGAAAGCATTATTCAGTTCAACCTGTTTGTGTGAATCTTCGTTTTCCAATATGAAGTTTATTAAGAACAAATATCGCAATCGACTTACTGATGAACATTTGGATAATTGTATTCGAATGGCTGTATCAAATTATACTGCATACATTAAAAAAATTATCGATGAGTCATTGAACGTGCTTTTTTATTTTTCAATGTTTATGTTCATGATAGTGCGTTACTTTTTTGTTGTTATTATTAACTATTTTTAAATCTTACGTGGCATGCCGTTGTGGCTGGATAAAACTTTGTGTTTATTTTTCAAACATCTTCGTTTGGTAGGTAGTGTTACGGCTGCTTTGCCTCAGGGTACTAAGGGAAAGCCTTTTAAAGCCAGGATGGGTCAATCTCAGGAAGGATTCGAAGGTTAGCAAAATAAAAGCTATTGTGGAGTTCTTTTCTTGCAATCAGGCAGATTATTATATTTCTCAAATATCTTTTAGCAATAAGTATGAAACATTTGGATGATATTGATATAAATACGTATTTATATTTACAAATTATTCACAGGTAAGCTCAACAAGAACCATAAAAAGATTACACTAATTGTAAAATACCTATCTTTAACAATGAATATTTTGTCTTGAATGTTTTTAATAATTATGGTCTATTTTATTTCAGACTCAGATTAATGTCCTTATCACAAGTTTGACCTATTGAGAAGGTTTAAAGTTCTATTTTCTAACGAATTATCAGCAAATTGGTAAGTTAATATACATATGAATGAATTATCAGCAAATTGGCAAATTAATACGTAAAATATACTTAAATCACTGACTCGACTAATAATAAAAAAAAAAAATTAAAGTTTTTAAGGCTTATCTGTCTTTTTCCAGAAGGGCGGCTTCTCTCCAGAACCTTACAGGGCTTCGATTGGTATTAGAGATCTTATAGGCGTCAATATAGTGTGGTCCTTTCAATTGAATAAGATGTAATGGGAACTATCAACCCAGATATAGTTTTAAGTGCCAAAGGTAAAAAGAATAGGAAAACGAGAAAGGCCTAAAAATAATATAACTTGGTAAAGCATCATCTAAAGAAATATAAGGTACAATAGAATAGTTCAAACAATAGACTCACCTCGGTTGGCAGGGGGCCTAAACGTGGCTTCAATTGAAGCGAATTTGATAATTGAATTCTCCAAATAAATTATTTCTTTTAGATCCACAAAATGTGATATTAGTTACTTTATCCCTAATATCGAAATTTAATAAAATAATCGGAGATTTCGGTAAATATCCGCAAAAATGCGAGGTTTGGAAAACGTGGTTGCTTCTCAAAGCAAATTCTCCAAAAAAGAAAAAGATAAAAAAAAAACTGATAGTTTTTTTCTTATGGGCTTTAAACCGAATCATTCCGCGAGAATCTAGAGAATTATTCTTCTGAACTATTGGCTACACTGAACTGTGCATGACGTCATGGTATTTTTCCAATAATTTATGTTTTATGGTTCTGTGAGAAGAAAATTTGACAGGTAACAGAAGAGGAACATAACAAAATTTAAGGTTATATTTACTAATTTACTAAAATATTTAAATATTAGTTTTAATTCGTTTATTTTTAGGTAAACCAGATAACAAGGTAAAGTTAATTGAAGATGAAATATAGCTACAGTTAAAGGATCTCAAAATAGATATATATTAAAATAGTTGGGCCCTTGCTCATTTCTTTGTGAAAACTAATTATTCTATATTAGAATAATAAAATTGTTAATAAAAATTATATATAAGGTATGAGACTTTTAGTACGTAACAGTAGGAATGTAGCTATGAACAAGTACGTACTAGTAATATTAGTTATTTTGTTATTAGTTTATTATTAGTATCTATGTATTATGTATTACCAGTTAAATAGTAAAATAAATACATATAATGATAAATTAACTGTGGATTATTTCATTTACGTTGCGTTACGTGGCTTCCGTGTGGGTAGCTCGCTGTTTATTCCAAAATTAACAAAGTAGCTCAATACATTGAGACCACTGCTGTAGACAGACCTCCTATAAATGGTTTTCTTGCCAAACTTGTCCTTCATTTATTCATGTTTCATCCAAATAAAAAATATTTTTGTCTTCTTCTCTTTTTAATGTTCTAATTTTCTTTAAATATTGCCTCCTCCAATAAATAATTTCATCTTTTTTTGTTTCAGCAAAAGACTTAAGCAATAAAAAACCAACTGGATCGTTTTACACGAATCATTCACGAAAGCAATCTGGGGTAAGTACTATAGCTAGGTAAATAAAACGTTTATGAGGTGAAAATATGTATTATACTAACAATTTTGGAAGCACTAACAATGTCTCGTCCGGTTGTAAGAGAATTATCTATTATTAATGTTTATTCTCTCATCGCGCACATGTTCTGTTGTAGTTTTCATTTTTAATTAACCAGACTTAGTTTTACGAGCTAGAACTTTACTAGTTTAAATTCATTTAATGGGAATTTAAAAAACAAACGTAGCTATTCCTTTTAAATCTTGTTTTTACTAATCCAACGCCAGCGCTGCCTGATTTATGAGAGTAAATTGCATTATAATTACTACGTTTGTAACTTTAATTAATCACATTCATTTTGCTAGTTTTATTCTCTCTATATTTTTAGTCTTCGAAGGATATAGTGTTTTCTATTACCATGAAAAGTTTTTAAAATTTAACATAGGGTGACAGTTAAACAATTCTCGTTAAGTTTTTTAACGTCTATCAAACCAGTGGCATACCATTTTTTTGCTTCAATAATATTTAGTTTAAATGCCGTAGGGACGCCAGTGATAAAAATAAAAAAAAGCTAATAGCATCAGAAAATGTCATTTTATGGTAAAACATCGTGTACCAAATTTCATTAAATTATCTTCAGTGGTATGAAAGATATGATAAAAAAACAATTTTTTTTCTTAAAACTTTAACACCCTGTATCTTGAAAACCATCCATTTCCGGACACATGTTTATATAAACTTTTTACCTTAAAATTACTCAAAGAATCATTTCCTGAAGTTTGTCAAAGTACTTATGAATCACACTGTATACAAATACACTTTGTATTCGGATCTATCCATTACATAATAAATAGTTTGTTAATATTTAAATTACATAACCTACATTATACAGGGTGTCTGTAAAAGTAATTTTAGAACATGAACAATAATTATTAAAATACAAACTTTGTCAAAACCATGAAAGTAAATCGAGTGTTATCAAGGGTACTTTTTTGTAGTAAAGGAGTACCCAATCCAAATTTCATACTCAAACCCCTTTTTTACCATTGGCGTAGAATTTTTAAAGGTGCAATTATTTAAAAAATCAAGTTCTACGCCTATGTATTATTATCGGACAAAATTTTATACGATGAAAAACATAAAAATGTACTTTTTTCATATCTTCTTCAACACCTCTAATAGTTTCGTCTAAACAAAAATATTGTCAAGTTTTAACACCTAATCTCTTGTTAACGATTGAAAGTGTTTGACTCAATAATTAAAAAAACAAATGCGTGGTTTATTAATATGGCTATACAATATATCAAAGCAGAATATACCGATATGTTACTGACATTAGGATTTTGTGAAGGAAATTCTAGAGAGAGTGTCAGGGTGTACTTTGAAAGGTTTCCAAATCGTCGTGTACCTAGCCAACCAACTTTTGCTGCTGTTGAGAGACGTCTTCGGGAGACCGGTTCTTTTGCTCCCAACACTGTTGATAATGGAAGAGAACGTTTTGTAAGGATTCCTGAAGTTGAAGAAGACATTTTAGAACGTATTGAAGAAGATCCAGAATTAATCACCAGACAAATTGGAAGGGAGCTAGGAGTACGTAAAGATGTCGTTCATAAAGTGCTTAGAGAACAATTGCTATATCCATACCATAGAAGCCAGTACAAGAATTATTAGTCCATGATCCTCAAATTCGTTTGGGTTTTTGTCGATTTGTTAATATGCAAAGAGAAAGAGATCCAAACTTTGTCAGGAAGGTTCTCTTTACCGATGAAGCGGGTTTTACAAGAAGAGGTATAACTAATACCCATAATGAACATGTTTATGCCGTTGAAAATCCGCATGCGATAAAGGTAAACCATTTTCAGCACGAATTCAAAATTAATGTGTGGGCTGGAATAATTGGTAATTTCATTGTTGGTCCTGTCATACTTCCACGAAGATTAACTGGAGAAAATTATTTGGATTTTCTACAAAATACGTTGCCAGAATTGTTGGAAGATTTACCTCTCCAACTTCGGAGAGATATGTGGTTTATGCAAGATGGAGCTCCACCACATTTTTCTTTAAACGTTAGAAACCACTTGAATGAACAATATCCATACAAATGGATAGGCAGAGGTAATGACGCACCTGTAAACTGGCCACCACGTTCCCCAGACCTAACACCGATGGATTACTTTTTATGGGGACATCTGAAATCCACAGTTTACAGGCAACCTGTAGAAAATGAGGAACAACTGGCAACGTATTCAAGATGCAATAAACAATCTTAGAGGTGAAGAAGTTATGGAAAGGATACATTTTAATTTTCTTCGACGTATAAATCTTTGTATGCGTGAAAATGGTGAACATTTTGAACAATTTTTGTAAAATCTCTATTTTGATTATGTTGTAAATAAATATTTTTGTAAAATCTATACACTCTAAATTATTAAAACAGAATTTTAGCGAAAACCATGAGAATAATCGAGTCTTATCAAGAGTACCTTTTTTAAAGTAAATGAGTTGCGCAATCTAAATTTCATACTCAAACTCCTTTTCTGCCATTGGCGTAGAATTTTTAAAGGTGCAATTATTTAAAAAATCAAGTTCTACGCCTATGTATTATTATTGGACAAAATTTTAATACCATTTTTTTTTTTGCCACATAAAGCTCTACCAATATACCAAATTTCAGCAAAATCGGATATGCTGTTTTAAATTTATATGGGAAAAACGATTTAAAAATTGTAACTAAGGAATATGTGGTATGTTTTTGTAAAGACCTTTTACAGACACCCTGTATAATGTAGGTTATGTAATTTAAATATTAACAAACTATTATGTAATGGATTTATCCGAATACAAAGTGTATTTTTATACAGGGTGATTCATAAGTACTTTGACAAACTTCAGGAAATGATTCTTTGAGTAATTTTAAGGTAAAAAGTTTATATAAACATATGTCCGGAAATGGATGGTTTTCAAGATACAGGGTGTTAAAGTTTTAAGAAAAAAAAATCGTTTTTTTATCATATCTTTCATACCACTGAAGATAATTTAATGAAATTTGGTACACGTTGTTTTACCATAAATTGACATTTTCTGATGCTATTAACTTTTTTTTATTTTTATCAGTGGCGTCCGTACGGTATTTAAACTAAATATTATTGAAGAAAAAAATGGTACGCCACTGGTTTTTAAAAAAATAAAAATTATTTTTAAAATCTACATTTAATTTGGAACAAATTTGATCTCCTGACTTTTGTTCGTAAGACGCACCGTTTTCGCAAATCAACCACGACTCAATGCCGGTAGCAAATGAATGGGTTTTATTTAGCGGTCTTATTTATTTTCTTACGACATTTAATGTAAATTTATCAAACCGTCTCTATTTTGCCTCGCTGACTTCTCAAAGACGAAATGATTATATGCAAACCGTTTCTGATTTGTTTACTATGGCGTTCATCTAACATAGCAAGCAATATTGAGATAAAAGGAAGAAAACGGATAATTTATTTCCTTTACATACTTATATAGTTAAATATGGACCTAAATCAACTGTCTTTCAATAACTTTTTATTTCATACTGGTCTAATAAATCTACTTCATCATCATCTGAATTAGGGCGTGGTTCAAAGCCCACTTGTACTGAAGCTCTAGGCTTATTGTACCCCTCAAAGTTTCTATCCCATCAGATAGAAATAACGTCGAAATATTTAAATTTGTACAAAGTTCTGACAGCTCTTTGAAAACTATGACATGACCACTAAGAGAGGGGGAAGGGGTGTCGTTTTCTTTTGGCATGTCATCTCCATAGTATTCAACCTCATTGATCCAACATTATAGTATCTGATTCTGCAATATTTTACTTAGCTTGACTACCATGTTATTTTTATTAATAAACAATTATTTTTCATATTTGATTTTTGACATTTTATCAAAGTTAATACCAGGAATCCTCCAAAAAATATCGAACACTTTCCACATCCCTTGAAATCAAAATTTCAGTAAATTAATAAATGTTTTATTATTTCTGACTTTTTCTTTACATTCTGTTACGTCCACTTGCATTTCCGCATAATTATATTATGAGTTATTAGTGATATTGACGATCAATTTTCAAGGATGTGCTTAATCTTCTAATGGTCGATCCATCCCTGTATAGATTTTCTATTAGTTCACTTGAGTGCACCTTAGGCGTTTTCGGCAGTTGATGGATAATATTATTCTATCTTATACGTGACAGTATGGAATACTGTAGGTTTAGGAGTAGGGTTCTTGTCCCATGGAGCATTGGCTATTGTTCATAACTGTTTTCAACTTAAAATGTTATATAATGACGTATAAATTATTTATCTGAGAAAATATATCCATTAATATTTTTAAATTTTTAACTTTAACACTGCATTTCAGAACCAAGTAATATGTAATCCAAGAATGTTTAATCACATAATCTTCAGTGTCCAATTCTTATATAAAATATAATAATAATTGTGAAAAAGGATGAGAGAACGTCGATTTAAGTCAAAATCTTAAACTAAATAGAATGCAAATTATTAAAATATTCACATATATTATAATTTTTCAGAATTACCGTCCCCGAACAACAAGTTTTTTTAACTCCAGCACTGAAGACGCCAACGTTGCCAGTTCAACCCTTTCCCTGCACGATGGCGACCAAAGCAAAAAGCAAATAAAGCAACGACTGACGGCCTTCTTTGGCAACACTAAGGTAAGAAATCATCTTTATTTAATTTCAGGACTTGGGTCTCCGATCTACAATCTTTATCTTTTTTTATTATTACTTTATTAGTTTATCGTGATTTAATGCCAATCTTATACCGAAAAAGACTGTGTCAGGCTAATATACGAAAAATATTAGATAAGATTGTGGGATCTTTAAAATGTCGGATCCCAACATAAATAAATAGTTTTGCTAAGACGTATAAGATCTATTTAATTCGAAGAATAAAAAGACATGTCTTGCATATAAAAATATAAAAGTCATAATCATGATGATCAATAATTCTTAGCAACCAAAGTTGCTTAGGAGATGAGTTTATCCTTTGTCATGCTAGGACTGTCACAAATTGAAGGGTTAGCTGAAAAGTGTTAAGTGTGTGACATTTTAACGTATGTAGTGCAACTGAGGCGCTACAAAGATAACTATGACATTTTTTCTTTCAATCATATTAGTAATGTACGTGGATGGTACTATTCAAAAGGTTTAATAAATTCCGAAGAATGATAGTGGTCTTGAAAGTTAAAAAAATGTCATACGATTGGGTCCGTAAATCTATTATAAAGGAACCAGGAGCATTGATTAAGTCAGTGGTCGCCAACTTCTCAATGTGTTGAGCTACTTTGTTAATTTTGGAATAAACAGCGAGCTACCCACACGGAAGCCACGTAACGCAACGTAAATGAAATAATCCACAGTTAATTTATCATTATATGTATTTATTTTACTATTTAACTGGTAATACATAATACATAGGTACTAATAATAAACTAATAACAAAATAACTAATATTACTAGTACGTACTTGTTCATTTGTTAATTTTGTTTCTCCTTTATTTAGTTGTATATCTTCTTTAATTTTTTATATTTTATTTTGATGTTCTTTCTCTTTTTAATTTATTTTTGACATTCTTCTTTTTCTTTTGTTCTATCTTCACAAATATCAATTAATATTTGGTACATTTCTGCTACTGACATGCCTTTTATTATTTTTTTTATTTTGAAAAAAAGCGTATCTTGCTTTCACAAAAAAAATCTTAATAAGAAAGTTCTTCATCACTTGGAAATCTCTAAAAAGGATGAACATTGTAAAATACAAACATTTCCAATAAATTATTTGATTTTGGATTATTTGTGGGATAAAGAAAATCGAAATAACTTAAAAACATGTGAAATTATTTAAATTTCAGCATAATTTTTAATTCCCATTAACATTTTTAATTCCTATTTTGCTCTATAACGAAATTTAATTAAACAATATTTGATGGTTGTTACTGGATTTTCAAGTGTTGCATAACATTTTTTGTAAATCTAAGCCAGTGGTCGCCAACCTCTCAATGTGTTGAGCTACTTTGTTAATTTTGGAATAAACAGCGAGCTACCTACACGGAAGCCACGTAACGCAACGTAAATGAAATAATCCACAGTTAATTTATCATTATATGTATTTATTTTACTATTTAACTGGTAATACATAATACATAGTTACTAATAATAAACTAATAACAAAATAACTAATATTACTAGCACGTACTTGTTCATAGCTACATTCCTACCTACCAAACGAAGGTGTTTGAAAAATAAACACAAACTTTTATCCAGCCACAACGGCATGTCACGTAAGATTTAAAAATAGTTAATAATAACAACAAAAAAGTAACGCACTATCATGAACATAAACATTGAAAAATAAAAAAGCACGTTCAATGAGAAGGCTAACACTCAGACTCATCGATAATTTTTTTTAATGTTTGCAGTATAATTTGATACAGCCATTCGAATACAATTATCCAAATGTTCATCTGTAAGTCGATTGCGATATTTGTTCTTAATAAACTTCATATTGGAAAAAGAAGGTTCACACAAATAGGTTGAACTGAATAATGCTTTCACTTTCAAGGCAACACGGCATAGAACTAAATATTTGTCTTTACTTACAATAGGCCAGATACATTTGGTACTAACGATTTTAAGGCTAAATCATTTTGAAACTCAATTACTTCCATTTCTGTTGCAGCGATGTCTTCGCCAAAGTTCTGCATAACACAAGTTGCAAACTGTTGGATATCAATTTCCATAAAGGGTGAAACAACAAACTGCGCCACTAAAGCCATTTCGTTGAAATCCTTAAAACGATTTTTGAAGTTATTCTTCAGGGTAGAAACTATTTCTACATGATATTTGCTGTCATAGGGTTCTAATGGATTTCAACCTATTTTTTCTGAAAGAATAGGAAAATGCTTGGCATTGCTATTAATTAGGTTTTGTTCCCAAAACTCCAGCTTTTTGATAAATGCTTTTATATCAGAAATCATTTCCGCTAGTTCTTTGTCTCTCCCCTGAAGCTGCAAATTAAGTTCGTTTAATTTCTCTGTAATGTCCACGAGAAAACCAAAATCTCTAAGCCAGATTGAATTTTCTAGTTCCGGAGTCGGTTCATCGCGTTGTTTGAAAAATTGAACTATGCCAGATAGGACATCATTAAAACGTTTCAGCACCCGTCCTCTACTTAACCATCGGACTTCAAAGTGAAGGAGTAGGTCCCCGTATTGACAGTCAACTTCATCGGCCAAAGTTTTGAATAATCTTCTTTGTAACGCTTGAGCTCTAATCTTGTTCACAATTTTTACCACCAGTTTCATAAGGTTGTTTAGTTTCAGGAAATTTCCTCATAATGCTTGCTGATGGATAATGCAGTGGTAACAGAGAAATTGCGGAAAAGTTTCATCTTTACGACATAACGCCACCAGACCCTTATCACAACCCACCATAGCTGGAGCGCCGTCGGTTTTCAAGCCTACCATTTTCGATATTGGAATTTTCTCGGAAGAAATAATATTTTTTAAATGAGAAAACAACTCCTATCCAGTAGTGTGTCCTTTCAGTGGATTAAACTTCAAAAGATCTTCTTTAATCGTAAAATCACTAAAAACCATCCTGACGAACACAGCCATCTGGACAGTGTCAACGACATCTGTTGATTCATCCAGTTGAAGTGAAAAATAAACACAGTGATCTAAGTCAGTTCTTAATTGTAAAAAAATATAATTGCTCATTACTTCTACACGTCTCATCACTGTATTAGCAGAAAGTTGCATAGATTTTATAGCTGAAACTATCTCGTCTTTATTTCTAAAGTTGGCAAATAACGAATCAGCAGCTTCTAAAAACGCCTGTTTTATCATTTCCCCGTCTTCATAAGGTTTCTTTTTTTGTGCAATTATCTGGGACACACGGTACGATGCTTCAGTTGCAGCCTTATTTTTGTTGATTGTTCTTAAAAATATTGATTGCTGTCCAATTAACTGCTTTTTTAACTGTTTCAGTTTCTCCTTTCTGGTGGCAGAATGTAGTGGGAATGATTTTTCAAAATTAGAATGTACAGTTTTATGATGTCTCTCAATATTTCCTTTTTTAGCAACGGAGACCGAAATATTACATAACAAACACACATTTTTATCTTTAACTTCTGTAAAAAAGTATTGTTCTTCCCATTCCGAATGAAAGTGGTATGTCTTTACCTTCTTACAACTGCTTGCCATAATATTATTTTTTGTTGTTCTCTACTAATCCAACCGCTGGACGTTGGTTACGCGTTCAGTTTTAAACCAAGCGCAACGTCGCCGCGTCGTGCGTATTTATCCCGTTCTCGAACACTAACGCGCTGGTCCGGCTGGTCGGTTCTAGCCGATTCTAGCTTGATGGCGTCAGCGGCATATCGCTCACCGCAACGGTGCCGCTGTTTATGTTTAATATTATGACAATAAGATTTTTTTGTGGAATTTCGGAAGCTTCTCTGATTTTTGCAGTTTTTTTTTTAATTAAAATCGTTGTGAGAGCTACCAGAATTGCCTCCGCGAGCTACCGGTAGCTCGCGATCGACAGGTTGGCGACCACTGGATTAGGTCAATTTAAAAAAATTAGTTTTTCAAAATAGTTGGTTTAAAGTTTTCCAAATGTAATCCTCCAAGTGTAAAGCTTTTCTTGTAGATGATAATTTTTTTTCTGTAAATAATATTAAAAATTCCTGTTATTATTATTAATTGCAGACTCTGGTTTTCTATTCATTTCTTTTTGCGTGAAACAATTCAACGATTTTCCTTTTGGGAAATCATGTATAGCTACAATCGCACACAAATACAATATGGATTTCCGCAATAAAATTCTTTATAGCGCTAGTTACGGGTTTCCTTTCCTAATACAAACTTTCTTATTCCAATTAACCCATTTCGAGAATATACCTCAAATTCACTCCATAGGGATCAGTAAAAAAAAGAAATGAAGGTTTTATTTCCGTCGTCATAAAAAATAATTTATGTAATCCTACTGAATCATGAAAGGAAGCTATTAAATTCGTTGCCTTCCTGAATGAAAACTCGCCTACTTCATGGGCATATTTTAAATTGATACCATTATTTTTCGATTATCTGCTTTAAGCTTTTGCGGAACAAGAACCTCACTTAAACTGTAAACGAGATAATAAAAATAGCACTTTAGCAATTTTTTTTATTAAAACTCAAACAATAATAAAGTGATAAAATAATTTTTTCTACGTTCATGCAAAAAACAAAATTTTATTGAACTATATTTAGTGAAAAAACTGGTTCTTTATTGCACTAGTGCAGTGGTCGCCAACCTGTCGATCGCGAGCTACCGGTAGCTCGCGAAAGCAATTCTGGTAGCTCTCACAACGATTTTAATTTAAAAAATACAAACTGCAAAAATCAGAGAGGCTTCCGAAAATTCCACAAAAAAATCTAATTGTCATAATATTAAACATAAACAGCGGCAACTTTGCGGTGAGCGATCTGCCGCTGACGCCATCAAGCTAGAATCGGCTAGAACCGACCAGCCGGACCAGCGCGTTAGTGTTCGAGAACGATCAGGATTGCTTTGAACGGGATAAATACGCACGGCACGGCGACATTGCGCTTAGTTTAAAACTGAACGCGTAACCAACTTCCAGCGGTTGGGTTAGTAGAGAACAACAA